TTATCTATACGTTCAGATAATATTGTTCCATGTTCATAACCACGTTCACGTGATGTTTGACTATTAAATTGAATAAATGGAAAGATTTCATTAGAATCTATTGACATCATATTATTAGTTTATTAATAATATCAATAATATGTTTAATTTTGTATAGTTAATTATTGATATTTTTCAAACTCTGTTATCTTTTATATATAATTTTTTTTTTAATGTTTGACAAGCAAATTCAAATTGATTTTATTGTTGGTGATATATTTGAAAGATATTCTTCTAATAATGATTCGAAAATATTAAATTGTTCAATTAAAATAACTATATACACAATATTTTTGTTCAATATTAAAATCTAAATCATCATTAAAAAGTTCAACTAAATATTTATAAAAGAATATGAAAAAATATAGTTGATTGATTAAATTTATTCACTTATATCAGAAGATTTCAATATATGAAAATGTTCTTTATGGAGATGAATTCCAACAGTTTATTTTCTCCACAATAACTGCAAGGAAATTATGGTTCAGATAGATACTTTACGGGTATGAAGCGCGTCTCACTCGAAAAAATTAAAAATACTACGACAAGCAAACAATTTCTTGATGATTGATGAAATGAGAATAAAAAAATATGGTGAAACACAAAGGTAAAATCAAATAAGAAAATTAGAAGTATGTATTTTTTTAATTTTCATAACATTTACGTAGATCAATAATAAGAAGTTCAAATTATCTTATGTCAAGAAAAAAACACTACGATTATGTCGTAGACCTAAACTGCAAGTTCCCATGTAAGGAAATGAAAGGATAAACAAAAATATAATAATTGCGGAATTATTCAATCTGCAGTTTTTCGTATGCTTCCCTTGTTAACTTTCTACAAAATCAGTTTCAAAGAAGAAAACTAATAGAATCCTTGATTTAAGATAATTATCTACTTCAGATTCAGTGTATAACTTGTGATTTTCAGTGTCTGATTGTATTACGCTAGTTAGTAAATAGGTCGACTCAGATAATAACAAACACCTGCTTCAAACGATAATAATATGCCCTCGAAGAACGGCACTTTAGATTGTTATTTATTACCTATCTCAATAAAGTTTCAACAGATGGCAACACTAAACAGTTCTGTTGCTACTAGCAAAAACTCATACTCTCAACTAAGAATCATATACTTATCTTTGTTGTACTGTGCAAGTCATATTAAATCTATAAATTATTGACATCATTATGATTTATTTAACTATTTTATTAATGATTCTCGTTAATATTCTTAGACAAAGCTTCATAGTGTTCCGATTATAAACTAGATCCCACCTTCATTATTTGTAATGTGTGATCAATCACTTTCATCTCATGAAGAAGTGGCTGATCCTATCAGTTGTTTTGACAACTATTGAAAAAATTACATAAATGACTACAAAAGTCGATGCTATACTATGTCCAGACCTACCTAATTTATAATAATGGTCAAAAGTTTACAGAACATATCTTATGCATATCGAGTTTCAATTTATGGTAATCTCTCTGCAGGAACCAGTTTTCAGAAGCTCATTAATCCTGTTGCAATATTTCAATATGAAACTTATCTATCGTATTAGTTATGTAATATGAATAGAAGTGTGCTTGTATTTAATAATAAAGATCATAGCAATCTAGTTTATTTTACGTGAAATATGAATATTTTTCATGATCATCGATGAGATCAGAGTCAAGAAATACAAGATGAAGATTCATTTCTTACATCACAATATTTTTATATAGATGTATTAGTGATATACAATATGGTGAAGATAACCATTATTTGACAGTCATGTTAGTGATATCAAAAACTTTTTAAAAATTATTTTACTACTTTTTGAAACACGTATACATGATGTAGATATTGCGAATATTATATGTTATTTTAATACGAGAAATAATATGCCAGCAAGTTTTAATCAATTTTTCAAATTTCGATTGTAAAAATTTTTTATTTAAAACATAAACAATAAGTGCTGGAGAAAAAGAAAACAATTGTTGAAGTTAATATTGATCAAATATCGCAACGAACAAATAATCTTCAAGTTTGTCTTAGGCTTTATTTGATTTATATCGACAACAGTCTTATAGACAAATTAATATTAGAAAGTGTTCTAGAATGTATTTTTTATGAATAAATCTTTCTCATTAAATATAGATGAATTACAAGATCAAAACATTATATTAATTGAACTGACTATAAATGAAAGTTTTAATGCAAAAGAAATTATTATAGAAAAGTTTCGTTTCTTATTGATTCTCTAACAATATTAATAAAAATAACACAAAATAAGTGAGAAACTAAAGTATACCGTTTTGTTTCTTCTATTATTGTCATTATCTGTAAATATTCTTTTATTATTTTTTATTTCTTTTTTTGATTGAAAGAGATTTCTCAACTTTATCAAAATTCAATTTATAGAATATTTTAAATTGAGAAAAGCTGGCTAATAATAACATAATGAACACATCTAAGAATATGCTTTCATGTTCATTCAAAGATTATTCCATTAATATGGAATTTATATGTGCTTAGAAGATATTTGATTGTTATAGAAATGGCTTTCCATTACTTATTGAATTGAATCAATCATTTTATTTCATTCTTTTCTTTAGTAATATCAATTCAATAATCAAAAGAGACGATCAACTGTATTTGCCAATTGTATTTAGAGCCGTGCAAGTCACATCTGACTTGACTTAATTTGTTCAGCTCTGTGGAAAAATTACATTGTGTTCCAGCAACGCCAGCATTTGTAGAGCGTACTTTCTCACAGAGTAGTTTTCTTATTCGTTAACATAGAGCTTTAATGTTCAAAACAACTTTATAGATGTTAACATGTTAAAGTGTAATAGTCATCTTCGATATAAATGTGAAACTTTCTCTAGTCGTTCAACAACTATTAGTCATATTTCTATCATTAGACTCTACGGAGAACAATCAGGTAACATTATACATAAATGGTCGATGCATCCTTTTTACGATGAGATATTATTTTATAAAGAGATATGAATAAATAGTATTCAAACTAGATGAACTATGGAAATGAATAAGAAGAAAAGAAATTCATAGAGATGATGTCTGTGAGCCGGGAGGGCTTGACTTGACTTGAAGAATTGTTTCATTGATTAGACTTGACTTGTGACTTGAAAAAAAATTGACTTCTCCAACTCTGATTACATTATTTTGTATTTAATTTCCTCTTTTAAATTAAATAGAAAAGTTATTCATTAATTTCACAATCTTGTTATTATGTCTGATAATAGACTTGAACTACTTTATATTCATAATTTTAATCAGTATACGAGTCTTATTTGAATGAGTTATATTAGTCAATCAACTTTGGTTAGTATAATTTCGACAAATATTTACGAATATCATTTAATCTTACGTCATATGTTGATGTTGTAAGAATGTTTCGTATGGAAATAAGATCTTTATCCAAAAATTCTGATTGAACATAAATTTTAATACAAGACAAACAGTTTCCTTTTGTATAATTATGATTGTTCATATAAGACATTTAATTATTCATCATAGAATAATTCAACAATACCTTCATATTCATTTGAAATCAAAGACAATGAAGCTGTTGAAGCTTTTATAACACCAGAAAATCTATCATTTAACGGTTAAATACCACTTATTAAACAATTATTTGCAATTACACATGATTATTGAAAATAGTTCGAACTAAGATTTTATTATTTATTGGACAATAATACATGTATGCAGTATAATTATGAGTAAAACTAACTCGATAGTCTTGAGTTTAAAGTTTCATTGAAAGAAAAACATTGAAAAAAAAAGATTATTATTTTTAAATGTGTTGCCATGAAAGCAGTCGATTTCGATAATGTTTGTTTTCTCTTGGATCTTCTTTCTGAAGTAATTCAAATAATTTACAATCATCTCAATACATTTATAATGTATTTCGATTACGTTTACATCATGTTGTTAACCTACAACGTACTGTACAAACCACATCAAACTTCATATGTTTTCTCTAGCATAACAAACAAAATCATGAGTATTGTCATATAAAACTAAAATAATAATCGTTAAAAAATCTTTTTTTAAACCAATTTCTTACTGAAAATTTTTCTCTTTTGCCATTAGTTTATTCTATAATTGAAGAATTGATAATGAATAATTTATTATATTCATATAGATATTTATAACTAGAAATAAGTTTATCTTATTTATATAGAACTTTTTATCTTTTCCAGATATACGTGCTTCCACTTGACGTCAATATTGCTTAACAACCGATTGATCGTTTTGTTCTACTCATATTACTAAGATTATTGATTTAGTCAATTGGTAGATACCTTTTAAATAGAACGTAATCGAATATTTTTGTTGTTTTCTAATTACTAAGTGATTGTTCGATTGATTAAATAATATTGAATATCAATCATATAGAATTGCTCCATATACATAAATGTGATTTAACATAACTTATTCATCAAATGTCTGTCAAGAAAAAAGAAAAATAATGGAAACATTAACAATATACTTATGGAGGCGTGCAGTATTTAGAAAGTGCTTCAATAAGAAGTTTAAATGTCAAAAAAATTAAAATTCATATTTTTATATTCTTTTTCTATTTTGCTTTTTATCAATAATGACGAATAAAACTTATACAAATAGACGAAATGCAAAAAATTGCAAACGATAGTGAAGTATCAGAGAGAGAAGGCATATTTGAAGGTATTCTGTTTCTTAGTTTGTCCGTTAAGAGAACTTTAAAAAAAGAAGAAAAGAAATATATTTGTGTGTGTGTGTGTGTGTCTATGCATCAAGTTGTTAAGAAGAAAAGAAACATAGCATTTCATTCAGTATTTAACGCACAACAATAACGACAGCTTCGTTTTTTTTCTTTTTTTTTTTTTTTGAGAAACATTAAAAGTAGAAGAGAAAAGAACGATCTTATTCATATATTAGCGTTTGTAGTAGACAAATAGTACTAAAACAAAATGCTTCAACCACGTCTTGAAAACGAACAATTGAATTTATTACCAAATTTATTGACAAGTGAGCGTTCACGTACAGGATTTATTACAACTGATCGTCCTGATTCTTCACAAGTATTGTTAAAATGAATTTAAAAACAGAAAAAAAAAAGAATTTTGTTTAAATATTTATTTATTTATTCATTAATAGCTTGTTGATTTACATGTTTATATTATTCCAAAAAAAGTATGGAAAGGTGTTCAACATTTAGCAGAAAATGAAGCGATGGATGAAGCTATATCAGCTGGTTTCGTTCAGTAAAAATATACACACATAAAAAGAAAAGAATTTTTATAGTTTTTAATTGATTGAAATTATTTAGTGTATCACCTAATATGAAAATACGTGATTTACGTGATTCAATTGAACAATTATGTGGAACAGAAAGTTATTTTCCACGAGATTTTATTTTTCTTCGATCTGTTGGAAGATGTTTAACAAGAGTTAAACCAAGACAAGAAAGTGAATTAAAAGTGAAAAATTATCGTCCACCACAGGTTAGAAGAAAATGTTTTTTCTTTTTATTTCGAAAAATATTTGAGATTAAATTATTTATTATTTTAGACATTTGCACCGGAGGTTAATATAAAAAAAAAGAATCTGTTTTTATTTGATTAAAAAAAGAAAAATAATTTGTTTTTCTATTAGATCTATTTACTCGAAGGTCGTCATGAAGATTATGCACATATTCCATGTGCTTCACCAGCACTCTCATCAACTAGTTATATATTTGGTAATCGTAATCAAAATGATTCGAATTATGATAATAATGGACAATCACCAACAAGATTTCCTCAAAATTATAATCGTAGACCAATGCGTGGTGGAAAACATTATCCACCATCCATGAATGCAAATGATTCATTATACCATTTTCCTTCGTCAGGAAGACAAAGTTGGGCAAAATTTACACAAAATGGTTCAGGTAATTTAAATTTATATAGTATTGAAAAAAGAAATTTATTTGAGTGTTTTATTTATTTATTTATTTATTTTTTATAGATCATGAAGAATCACCAAATCAGTAAGTAAAGAGAGAATGAGTTTTGAAAGAAAGAAAAATAATAATTCCACTTTATTTTTTTAAGTCAGACAAAAGAATAATATTGATGATGTTTCCTTTTCTAGCATGTCTAATATTACAAATATGATGCCAAGGTATAAACACAAAATTCCTTTTTTCTTGTGACACTCAAATAACTAAACATTTTGATTTGTTATTATTGAATTACTTTATGTATACATTTCTATGTATATAATTAAAAAACAAC